TTCCAAAGTACAGGGTGTTTCAAAATTATGGGCTCTTATTCATGGCAGTGTATTTAAAGTTTCTAAGCTGAGAATGAAAATGGAATTTATAAGCAAAATTCCTTTTATTGTGTTCAACAGAACAAGTTACAGTCACACTTCACATAAGCATGAAAACAGTCCCAAAGTTTATTCTCAAACTCCTTATGTAGTGTACAAAGGTATCTCTCAACCATTTCTTCCCAGCCATTCATGAATTATGTAGGCTTTCATGGACTCCAAACTGAGATGGCAAAAAACTGAGATGGCAAAAAGCAAGTTCTTTTTAACCATGTATGAAACGGCGAAGTCAAGTATGTAGGTCACAACCAAAAGAGCAGAATGCTTTTCTTCGTGCAAATCGGGGAACATGCATCAGCTTTCGTCCTGGACGAGCTTGGCTGTGTGTGCTGGAGTAGCGCTCTGCTGGAAGGACCAAGAGCTGCTTCTGGAAGGGAAGTGGTATCAATACTTTAGTACTTCTATCAGTACACTCTTCGAGTTCACGTCTTTTTTAATTTTCACGCCGGTATCGACGAAGCTAATGTCGACGGTAAGACGCCGTTGATATCGACGGAACAAACGGCATCTTGCCATCGCCCTTGGCTCCTCTCCTCCTTTTGCTGGATTGCATTCATTTTCAATGCTTCTATCCAGAAGTTTTGTATCTATCGTCTTATTTGTTGAGGATTGCCTTTGCTGTGAAAACTATCTTGTCATATTCTGAGAGGATTCCACTGTCGACAATATCGATGAAAAATTCAACCGCTCGTCGAACATCTTCACAAAATGTCAGGAAAACGGAGAGTCCAAGGCTCAGGGATGTTTCTCTTCGAGGCGGGCTAGAGGCAATCGTCAACAAACGTCCGGTCTTGCGAAACAATGCTGAGAAGTAATGATGGTATATAAGCAATAGAAAGGAGCAGCACTTGTGAATGAGACCGAAGCCTCGCCAATTGCAAGGTCCAGATGACTTGAGTTCGTACTGGCGGAACAATCACCTCATCCCGAAGTCCAGTGGAAAAGGTCGTCTACGGCTCCTACGTGGATCTTATTGACGTCTACCTGCCGACCTAACATCTGAGGATAGTTCTCATTGGCGGGATTCGACATGTCATCTTGTCGATGAAATGCTGTTCGGCGCCCGGTTTCGATAGGATTGAACCAACACATCCAAAGTGCCTTTCCCGAGTTACCGCCAAATCGACGAGGCAACTGTCGCAATGCATAGAGCCCACATCAAGGAATACTAGCAAGCCTGTGCTGCTGGAGACCCGAATATCGGCAACTATGGCCCAAGCTGCCTCCTCAACTGAACTGGCAGAATATTAGATGGAGGACGGCTTTGCGATCGGTTCGGAGAGCATTTATGAATAGCGAAAGAATCGCGACAAAAGCAATAACTTGTCAGACCTAAAAAACTAATGGAAAGCATCTTCAGAATATCTTTACTACCTAACTAGCACCTTCAGAATATCGTCTTCGAAACTGCGCTGAATAGTGAAATATGTATGTGTCCGAGAACGGTTGCAGTCACGTGCGCCACAAATTAGAGCGCCAAACAGATAGCTCAACGAACTCCTACCTACATATGTGGAACTTTCCAGAAACTGCTCATGCTCCATACAACACCTCTATCGCGTGCATCACAATGAAGAGCGCGTCAATCAAATACGAGTTTTTTGATCTGAGCTTCGCCTTTCGAGATTCTGTCTATAGGTTGTGGTGTTATGATTTCATGAAGAAACTTCGGGATGTTTGGCTCACTGCGTATGAATCTGCCTCGTTTGAACAGTTGACCACTTCCTGAAACCTGCCCAGTTTTTCCGGTGTCTGGGCTTTTCGAAGCAAAATTGTGAACTTGCCCGAAATTTTAAGCATCCCAAGCTTCACCGTCCTGTTCAGATAATGCTGAATTTCGAGTCTTCTAGAGAAACAGAACGGAGTTCACTGCATTTAGTGAATGAAAATTTCATAGGCAGTCAATACTAATGAAGACTTCCAAGGTAGAACGATTTTTTCTCCGGACTATATGGCAATCTTTAAATCTTAGCACCGCCCGCCTCGGCAAACCCCTCAACCGTTAAACGGAGCTGTGGACTTTTGATCTTTGCTCCGCCCACACTAGGATCTCGGCTACGGACCCTCTATCGGCTCAGACCATTTTCCAGCGTTTCAGAACGTTTTGGAACGGAGTTGTGATTTTTTTCGAAAAGGACCTACCATTTGCGTGCACACCCCACCCATTGTGGGCGGAACTTTGACATGTTTGCGAATACTCACATGTATAAGGCCTATTAATTAACTCTTCACGCCTTCGTTGAATCGGATTATGATCTTATATGGCAAGTGTCGCCCACTGCGCCAGCGCACCGCCCACCGCCTGTGAGTCTTCTTCAGTTCACTATTTGGCCCTTCCTCATCTTTACCCTCTTTTCCCGGCTTTTAAGCTGTTATGGAATAAGTCAGACATTTCGCCACCGCAAACTCCCATGCATGCCCTGCCCCCTGTGGGTGGAGCTCGCTGAGCTCACATGTGCTCCGTCGATCTCGTCTTATGCCCGACCCATCCAAAACTGTACCCGACATCTGCAGATGATTCTTCAGAAATTTCTAATTTCCGTGCAAACAAACAAACAAACAAACAGACTGACTGACGACAGACGCGAGCGCGATATCTATAGTAAGGATGAGCACTCCTTCCTATCGTAGAGAACAGGCATACGCAGAGTCCGCTGCTCTTACTAGCTGTCGATATTCTATATGACCTTTCTACTCTCCGCTATCATGGTGATGTCATCAATGGAACGGATGGCCTTAGGTGACCAGTAACAAATCTGTCGTCTTTCTAATTGTTTCATTGGAGTGTATTACAGTTCCGAGTTAATTCAAAGATTGTGTCAAGCTGAAAAAATCTCGCTATTACCGAAGGTGGACTTTAAGAACAACATGTATTGAGTTGTCCGAAAAGTTTCCGCCGATTTTCGATTCATCTTTGAGTGAAAATTTCTAGAAGAAGAAACCCAGTGATTAAACTATATATCCTCCATTCTGTTCA